TGGTGTGGATGCCGAGGGCACACTGGATCCACTGGATCCGTGTGCCTGGGCCCCCGGGGGCACTGCAAGGTCGAACCTCAGGGAGGAGGCAGACGGCAGAGTAATGGAGAAAGTGGCCTGAGAAGGGAGCTGGCCCAGCATGGCTGCTCTGTCTGGTTTAAAACCCAGGAGGCTGCCATTGAGGGGCTGAGCCCCTGATTCTTCCCCTGGAACAGAGGCCTGCTGCTGCCCATGCACAGGACAGGTGACCAGTGGGCACAGGCAGGAGGCGCAGTGGGCATCAGGGTGAGTGCTGGCTTTTGGTGGCCTGGGTTGGGTTCTGAAGGCCCCTGGATGCTAATCCTCAGTCATAGGTGACCACAGTCATGCATTCCCAGATGTGATGGGCCACATAAGTTAGGGTTTAACCTCAGAAAACCTTTCGCAATGCCGGGTTCCTGCAAGGGAAGCCACAGCCCTGGGCTGGGGCCAGTGGGTAACAGGACTATGCCCAACACAGCTAAGAAGGCAGAGGCATGTCCACCACTGGCAACCAATATCCTCACTGCCCCAGAAAGGGGGACTCCGACCCTCCCAGCTTCCAGAGACAATACAGGACATGCCCAGACGCCAGCAGTATTTTACAAGCTGGGCAACATCAGGACAAACAAACAACCCTAGTGACGCCAGGCGTGGCCTCACTGAGGAAGATGCAATTATGGGACCTGGGCAGACAGAGCCAGGAGTGGATAAAAGCTGACAGTCCAGCATCCACCTCACTCACACTCACTCACTCACTCACTCACTCACACTCTCCCCCGACTCCAGCTCAACCACCCACATGGCCGCCTCCACCATGTCCGTCTGCTCTAGCGACCTGAGCGGGTCGGCCTGCCCGGCTCCTCTGAGTCCTGCACCGGCTCCTCCTGGGAGGTGGACGACTGCCCAGAGAGCTACTGCGAGGCCCCCTGCTGTGCCCCCAGCTGCTGCGAACCCCGCTGCTGTGCCCCCAGCTGCTGTGCCCCGGCCCCCTGCCTGACCCTTGTCTGCACCCCAGTGAGCTGTGTGTGCAGCCCCTGCTGCCAGGCAACCTGTGAGCCCAGCCCCTGCCAGTCAGTGTGCACCAGCTCCTGCACACCCTCGTGCTGCCAGCCAGCTTGCTGCACCTCGTCTCCCTGCCAGCAGACCTGCTGTGTGCCTGTCTGCTGCAAGCCTGTGTGCTGTGTGCCCATCTGCTCTGAGGCTTCCTCTTCCTGCTGCCAGCAGTCTAGCTGCCAGCCAGCTTGCTGCACCTCTTCCCCCTGTCAGCAGACCTGCTGTGTGCCCGTCTGCTGCAAGCCCATGTGCTGTGTGCCTGTCTGCTCTGGGGCTTCCTCTTCCTGCTGCCAGCAGTCTAGCTGCCAGCCAGCTTGCTGCACCTCCTCCCCCTGCCAGCAGGCCTGCTGTGTGCCTGTCTGTTGCAAGCCCACCTGCTGCAGACTCTCATCCTCCGTGTCCCTGCTTTGTCGCCCTGTGTGCAGACCTGCCTGCTGTGTGTCTGCCTCCTCCTGCTGTGCCCCTGTCTCCTGCTGCCAGCCCAGCTGCTGCCGCCCAGCCTCCTGCATATCCCTGCGCTGCCACCCTGTCTGTGCTCGCTCAGCCTGCTGTGGCCTCTCCTCAGGCCAGAGCTCCTGCTGCTGACTGGTTGTGCTCCCAGGCCATCAAGGCCCCAGGTTTCACCTGGTGGCTGGGCCTCTTGCATCCCCCTCAGTCCAGTCCTGACCACGGTTAGGAGGTTGCATCCACCTGAGGATGTGGTCCCTGTGTGTCTCTTGTGCTGACAGGATCTCTCCCTCCTCCCTCCCTGAGTCTCCCCACCTCCCTGCTGCCTGGTTGTTGCCTCCAGGAGTTATCCCCACCTGCACCTCATCACCTCTCCTTCCCTCCCAGCTTATCTCCTACTGGTCACTTGGCCTGGACTGAACTTGTCAGCTCCTCCTGTGCTGCCAACAAACTCACATTGTGGTTGCTTCCAATCTTTGGCAATTACAAATAAAACTTCTAAATATAAACATCTGTGAGTGAATTTTTGTGTGGACCTGTTTTCAACTCCTTTGGGTAAATGCTCCGGAGTATGATTGCTAGATCATATATCGTATCTTGTGAGTACCAGCTAAACTGTCCTCTGAAGGGGATGTACCAGTCTGCATTTCTACCAGTAATTAATGGGAATTCTTGTTGGCCCATATCTCTGCCTGCATTTCGTGTCAGTGTTTGGCTCTTACTGTCCTAATAAACGTATAGTAGTTTCTCACTCCTTTCAGTTCAGACTCTAATGGCATATGATGTGGCGCATCTTTCATATGATCATTTGCCCTCTGTGTGTGTGTGTGTATATAAATTATTTTATTTTATTTATTCATTCATTTTTAAAATTTGACCAGAGAGAGACAGAGGGTGAGAGTGAGAGAGAGAGGAAGTGAGAAAGCAAGCCGCCAGATTCAGGACTCCAACCCTGGTCGGCCATGTGGGAGTATCTAGTGCCTTAACCACCACACCACCTGCTGGTCCCGAACTCTGTATATATCTTTTCGAGTGAGGTGTCCATTCAGCTCTTTTGTTCATTTTGGAATCTGTTCATTTTCTTATGGTTTAATTTTAAAAGTTCTTTATATATTTTTTTTGAATAACAATATTTCTGAGGGGTTTTTCTTTGCAGGTATTTTTACCCACTTTGTCTTCTCATTCTCTTCATGTCCTAAAATCGATTTTAAATAATTCCAATGAAGAAAACTGTAGGCCCAGGTTGTTTATTTGGTGAATTCTAACAAAACACTTAAAGAAGAAAAAAATGACAACTCTATATAATTTCTTCCATAAAATAAAAGCCAGAACAGTTTCCTAGTCATTTTAAGAAGTCAGCCTTCCTTTGCTACCCAAAACAGACAAAGACATTACCAGAAAAGTGCATTTTCGTACCAGCAATTGGCATAATGGCTATGTCGCTGGACTCCCATGTAGTCGATTGACCGTGGTTCGAGTCCCTGACCTGGTGGCTTACACTCATGCCGGGTGCATGTGCATGCGTGCCCAAGATCCCGAGAGGAGAATGGAGGAGAAGGGATTGCGGCGTGACCATCACCCCTGGGGAGGGGGATGATTTCTCTCTTTCTGTCTCTTTGTCTCTCTCTGTCTTTCTGGCGAGCACATGAGCCCTATAGCAAAACCTCTCAAAAGAAAAAATAAAAAAAGAAAGAAAAGTGTATTTTTTTAATCAATATTGTTGATAAATATAGACACACACATTCTGAACAAAATATCATGAAATCCAATACAATAATGCATGAAAGGATAATATATCACAACCAGGGCAGCTTCATTCCAGAAATGCAAGACTAACTCAACAAAAATCAATGTAATTCATCATATTAATAGACTAAAGAACAACAATATGATAATCTCAATAAAGAGAAATTTATACAGAATTCAACATCAATTCATGATTAAAAAAAATACTCTCAATGAACTAGGGATAGACCAAAGTTTACTTTTTAACCTGATGTAAGGCATTTATGAGATTTAAGCCAGTGCCATTCTCACAGTAAACTTTTTTTCCCCAAACCAGGACAAAACATACAAATGTCCTACCATTCCTATTCAAACCTTGCTAAAGGTCCCTCCCTTCTCCCATCCCCAGTGCAACCAGGTAACAAAAAGAAAGAAGAGGTTTATGTATCGGGGAGGAAAGAATGATTGTTTCTATTCACACAAGACCGGATTGTCCACATAGAAACCCTCGTGAATACACAAAAAGACTTCTAGAAATGTGAAATGGGATTTTGTCTGCATCGGAGTTAATGCCAGATGGATTGTTGGGTCCTGCTTCATGTAGGAATAGTAAGTGGACAATTACTAATGCGGCGATGATGAAGGGTAAGAGGAAGTGAAAAGCAAAAGAATCGGGTTAGCGTTCTAACACAGTCAACAGGTACAAGTTTAAAGGAACAAAAGTAACAAAAGTCAGTTGTATTTCTATATATACATAATAAGAAATTGGAATCCAAGAATTTTATTTAAAAGTATAATTTACAACACAATAAAAAATGAAAATATAGGTATAAAAGTGATGGAATGATTGCCTGATGAGAACAGTAAAACACTGATGAATGCAATCAAAGACGATACAAAGAAATGGAGACATACACCATGTTCCCAGGTGGAACACTCAACATTATGCCATGCTAGTTAACTCCAAGCTGATCTATAGATTCAAGTCGATCTCAATCAAAATCTCCTCCCCTCTAAAACCAAACCAATCAAAACAAACAAACAAACATTTTGATATCAACAAGTTAATTCTAAATTTTTTTGGTGAGGCAAATAAATTAAAATAGCTAAAAATAAAATTGAAGAATAACAAAGTTGCAGAGTCATTTAATTTCAAGATGTACTGTAAAGCCATAGTAATCAAGACAACGTGGTGTTGGCCAAAATATGGGCACACAGATCAGTGAAACAGAAAAAGAAGAAGGGCCAATACAAATAAAGTGAACTAAGTTTTTTTTTTCTTTTTTTTTTTGGGAGGGGGAGATTTTCACTATAGGGCGCATGCACTCGCCAGACAGACAGAGAGAGACATAGAGACAGAAGGCGAGAAATCACCCCCCAGGGGGGATGGTCACACACCAATCCCTTCTCCTCCATTCTCCTCTCGGGATCTTGGGCATGCACGCACACGCGCCCAGCGTGAGTTTTAAGCCACCGGGTCCGGGATGCGAACCGCGGTCGACTATGTGGGAGTCCAGTGACATAGCCATTACGCTAACTGCTGTTCCCAATCAAACTAAGTTTTGACAAAAGTACAAAAGCATCTTAATGAGAAAGAAGTCTATTTGAAATAATTCGATACCTATAAGTAAAAAAAAAAAAAATTAAACCTCTACCAATATCTCATTCTTAAGGTAAAAATTATATTGAAATGAATCATATGTCTAAATGTAAATGAAACATTTTAGTTTTTTGAGAAAAAAAAATGGGCAAAATCTCTGTGATCTTGTATTAGGCAGAATTCTTAGATTAAGTACCAAAACCATGATCTATAAGAGACAATGTTGATAAATTAGACTCTATCAATATTAAACTCTTGTTCTCTAGATGACACTGTTAAGAGAATGAGAAGCTTGGGACCAGCAGTTAATATAATGGCCATGTTGCTGAACTCCCATGTAGTTGACCATGGTTCGAGCCCCGGATCCGGTGGCTTAAACTCATGCCAGGCACGTGTGCGTGCGTGCCCAGGATCCCGAGAGGAGAATGGAGGAGAAGGGATTGTGGTGTGGCCATTCCCCCTGAGGGGGGGGGTGATTTCTTGCTTTCTCTCTCTCTGTCTCTTTCTGTCTTTCTCGCAAGTGCATGTGCCCTATAGCAAAAACCTCTCCAAAAAGAAAAAGAGAGAGAGAGAGAATGAGAAGCTAAGGCATAGACCAGTAGAAAATATTTGCAGATCACACACTAACAAAAGTACTTGTCCCCAATATAAAGAACTCTCAAAATTCAGTATCAAGAAAGCCTAGTAAAAACCAGGGGCCTAAAGATTTGAGGAAATAGTATGCCAAGAAAGATGTACAATAAAGCACATAGAAAGATGCTCACCATTGTTAGTCATTAGGAAAATGCAAATTAGACTGCAATGAGTACCACATATGCCTACTTATTAGAATGGCTAAAATTAGCTAGACTGACCATGTCAAGTGTTTGCAAGGATGTGGAGGAACTGGAACTCTCACACTCTGCTTGTGGAAATGTAAAACACTACAACCACTCTGGAAAAACTTCTTGGCAAATAAACACATTAAATATGCTCACAACATCATTAGTCAGCAGGGCAATGCAAACTGAAATGACAAAAGGATACCACTGTACACTTTTAGAATGACAGAAAAAAATGGGTTTAATTGCAACATTAAGTGCAGACAGGGATATAGAGCAACTAGAACTCTCATACATTCCTGGTGGAAATGCAAAATAGTATTGCCACTTTGGCAAATAATCTGGCAGTTTCTTGTAAAGGTAAACATGCATCAACCCTATGGCCCCGCAATTCCACCCTGAGGTATTAGTCTAGAGAAATGAAAACTCATTACCAAGCAAAAACAAAATAAAAACAAACCATAATTCCTCCTCACACTCCTACCAGCGATATTTATAGCAGCTTTGTCCATAGGCTTCAAAAACAGGAGACAAAGAAAATAAACTTCAGCCATCGAATGAATAAACAAATTGTGATAAATCTATACAATGGAATATGACAGAGCAGTAAAAAGTAATAAACTGCTCATGTGCATAACAACCTAGGTGAATTCCAAGTGTTCTTGGTTTTTGTTTTTGGTTTTGTTTTTTTTTTTGAGAGATTTTTGCTATAGGAGCATATGCTCACTGGAGTGACAGAGAGAGAAAAAGAGAGACAGAAAGCAAGAAATCACCCCCCAGGGGGATGGCCAAATGCAGCAATCCCTTCTCCTCCATTCTCCTCTTGGGATTTTGGGTATGCACACACACACACCTGGTGTGAGTTTTAAGCCACTGGGTCAGGAACTTGTACCATAGATGATGACGTGGGAGTACAGCAACATAACCATTATGCCATCTGCTGGTCCCCTAAGCATTCTTCAAGTAAAAGAAGATAAACAAGAGAGGTCACATATGATATGATTCCATTTGGTGCTCTACATACTGAATGTCCAATTTATTTGACATTCTAGAAACTATACAGAAGAGAGGAGAAAGCAATATCGGGAAGTTTTAAGGGTGGAGGGAGTCCTCTGGGTGACACTGTGGAGGTAGATATAGGACTCTATTCATTTGTCAAAACTCACAGAACTAAATGCTATGAAGGTGAGCTAATTAAGTGGCAGTAGAGAAATTGCATTATGGACAGTTACTTGGTTCTGTGAGGTTAAATGAACAGGCACATACCCAATACCTGAAAAGGTTAAGAACCTTAATTTGATCTTTGCTCTTCGTTATTTTTTGTATCTATTTTTTTTTTATTGGATTTGCTTTATTTTCCAGGACTACAATGCAATTACCAGAGAGAGACAGAGACAAAGGAAGAAGAAGAAAGGACCCCCCCCAATGAAATGTGGTCACACCACAATCCCTTCTCCATTTTTCTAACCTGTTGGGATTTGGAGAATGCATGCACATGCACGTGGACTGCTTTCCATGTTGTTGGAGCGAGGACTCAAACTGTGTGGTCAGCCACGTGGTGTCTGGCTCACTTAACCAGCAGGCCACAGGCTGGCCCTGGAGTTATAACTTTTAGGTTAATTTTCCCCAGACGTTGAACATTTCATTCAATTATTTTCAAATATCCAGATTTCCACAGTTGAAGTAGGATGCCAATCCTCCTGGAGCTTTTTAGGGTTTTTCTTTGTATTTTGTGTCAGAAATCTTACCAGTTGTCTAGACCTGTGTTATTTACCATTCAGTTTGTCCTGTATTTGGTCAGATTTCAACTCTGAAGACCAGCACTTCCCTTCAGCTCTGGGGGAACTGACTTTCCTTTCTCAGTTGGCCATCCTTCCCATATGGAAATCCTACCTGGGGAATGTTGCAAGTTCTGGAAGCATTGTCTGTGCTCTGTCTGCTGTCCCCCTCATGCCATGCTGGTTTCGCCTGCTTCTTCTGCACTGACTCCTGGCCTGTCCCACTGCTCAGCCTTTCCTGTCAGTCCACAGTTGAAGAGCTGTGTGGGCCCTTGCTCTGCCCTACCATAGCCCTGCCACATAGCCCAGGCACAGGGACACAGATTCACAACTCTCACCTGCCACCTGGAGAGAATCCTGGAGAGCAGGGCACAGACATCTTCAGCTGCCTGCGGCGGGGGCTCCAGGAATAGCTCCTTCCCTGAGATGTTTGTTCAAAACACAAACACAGACCAAGGCATCAGCGGCCCTCAGCCAGAGCCACATGTTGCCAGGCTGAGCAACCTCTGTTGTGTAAATAAACCAAAATTAGCAGGAGCTCCAGGATCCAGCACACAGCATCAACAAGGAAGAGGCATGTTGAGCCTCCAGGTACAACAACGCACACCAGCCAGATATAAAAGGCCAACAGCCCTGAGCATTTCACACCCTCACACACATTCACTCATCACTCACACACTCACTCCTCTCAGCTCAACCACCCACACGTCCACTTCTACCATGTCTGTCTGCTCCAGCAACCTGAGTTACGGCAGCCGGGTCTGCCTGCCGGGTTCCCTGCACTGGCTCCTCCTGGGAGGTGGACGACTGCCCAGAGAGCTGCTGTGAGCCCCCCTGCTGCACCCCCAGCTGCTGTGAGCCTTCCTGCTGTGCCTCAGCACCATGCCTGACCCTCGTCTGCACCCCAGTGAGCTGTGTGTGCAGCCCCTGCTGCCAGGCAACCTGTGAGCCCAGCCCCTGCCAGTCAGTGTGCACCAGCTCCTGCACGTCCTCATGCTGCCAGCAGTCTAGCTGCCAGCCAGCTTGCTGCACCTCGTCTCCCTGCCAGCAGGCCTGCTGTGTGCCCGTCTGCTGCAAGCCCGTGTGCTGTGTGCCCGTCTGCTGCAAACCTGTATGCTCAGTTCCTATCTGCTCTGGGACTTCCTCTTCGTGTTGCCAACAGTCTAGTTGCCAACCAGCTTGCTGCACCTCGTCTTCTTGCCAACAGGCCTGCTGCGTGCCCATTTGCTGCAAGCCCGTGTGCTGTGTGCCCATCTGCTGCAAGCCCGTGTGCTCTGTCCCTGTCTGCTCTGAGGCTTCCTCTTCCTGCTGCCAGCAGTCTAGCTGCCAGCCAGCTTGCTGCTCCTCCCCCTGCCCACAGGCCTGTTGTGTGCCCGTCTGCTGCAAGCCTACCTGTTGCAGACCCTCATCCTCCGTGTCTCTGCTGTGTCGCCCTGTGTGCAGACCTGCCTGCTGTGTGCCTGCCTCCCCCTGCTGTGCCCCTGTCTCCTGCTGCCAGCCCAGCTGCTGCCGCCCAGCCTCCTGCATATCCCTGCGCTGCCGCCCTGCCTGTGCCCGCCCAGCCTGCTGTGGCCTCTCCTCAGGTCAGAGCTCCTGCTGCTGACCGCTTGTGCCCCCAGGCCCGTCAGCCCAAGGTCTCACCCGGTGGCTGTGCCTCTTACATCCCCCTCAGTTCAGTTCTTACCTGGGATAGGCTGCTGCTCCCACCTGAGGATGGAGTCCCCGTGTGTCTCTTGTGCTGACGTGACTTCCCCCTCCTGTCCCAAAACTCCCTACTCCCCAACTCCTATCTGTGGACATCTGTCCTTCTCTCCCAGTCTCTCTGTTCTGGGTCACCTGGCTTCAACTCAGCCTGTCAGCTCTACTTTGGGCTCCCAATAAACTCACCTTTGTCTCCTAATTGTCCTTCCTCTGATGCTCATGTTTTGGGGCGCCCACAGGGTTTTGCACATACACAGATCTCCACATGCACAACTCTCTCTAGAAACAAAGGACTTTACCTAGGACCCAAGGACAGTGGCCTGACTGCTCTGGTCAGGCTCCAAGTGGGGTTCAGTCTCTGTTCCTGGGTGTCTTGGGGGTGAACATGGTGTGAGTTGAGATTCTATTGATATGCTCCTGGTTCTTTGGGCTGTAAGACAGCCCTCCCTGCTGATGCCCTGCTCTACCCTGTTGGGGCTCCACAGGGTTCTGGCCATCCCTGAGGAGGTTCACACTAACCTTATCAGGTTCTAGGTTCTGAGAATCACCTTCATTTTTTGAAAATCCCAGGACGGAATGCTCCTTCTCATGGATGTCAGGTGGCCTATGGAAACCAAAGGAGTAGTAGTCAGTCTCTCTACTTACAAAATGCCCAGGTGCAAGTGACCCAAGGTGGGACCAGAAGTTTTTTCTGAATTAGATTTCAGTTAAATATGAAAGCACAGGAGCTTTTAACTTCTTTAGAAGAAAAGTTGCAGGACATACCCTTGACCTAGTGGTTAAGGGAGCTAGATTCCACATGATTCATGGTGGCTTGAGAAATGCGCTGGGTGCATGTGTATGTATGCTCCAAATCCTGACAGAATAGAGATATGGAGAAGAAGGGATTGCAGTGTGAGTGTGTCCCACTGAGGGGTCTTTCTCTTCTCTTTCTGGTGAGTGCACGTGCCTTCTGACAATTAAAAATGAAGGGGAAAGAAGAAAAATGGTTGCATGGAGTAGTCTTTCAATTTTACATAGCAAATATTTGCTAAAAGACACACTTTCTGTACATACACACATACACACACGCGTGGGTACTTCAAACAGTTCATAGAAAAATTAAAGTATGACTTTATTTTGGTATAAAAATGCTAAAGTACATGCATCTTTTCCATAGCATGCACTTCCATGAACTTTTGGAAGACCATTTGTCTATCTATAGTCTCTGTGACTATTTTCATATCTGTCTTACCTTTCAGGTTTAAACACTTTTCTTAATTGTTTAAGGCTAGGAATGATTGGAATCCACATTGTGAATGAATATAACCAAGTACACACGGTTTTTTACATATCCCAAGTTAAGAAGAAAGAGTTTTAAGGTCATGATCATTGGAGTGCTGTGGACTTTTTTCTTTGTTTTTCAATTGCAGTAAAATGCACGTGGCATAGAACATACCGTCTTACCCATTGTAGGTGCGCAGTGCAGAGCAGCGAGCGCCTTCTGTTGCTGTGCAGCCATCACCACCACCCATCTCAGAACCTTTTCATCTCCCCAACGGAAACTGTCCTCATTAAACGCCAACTCCATTCTCCCTCCCCAGACTCTAGCAACTGTCATTCCCCTTTCTGACCCTGCAAATTTGAGCCCTCTGGGTGCCTCCTAATGGTGAAACCACACAGTATTTCTCCCTCTGTGTCTGGCTTATCTCTCAGCATCATGTCCTCAATTTGTAGCAAGCGTCACAATCTCCTTCCTGCTTATGGTTGAATATTATTCCATTGTATGGATACTCCATATTTTGCTTATCTGCACCTGGGTTGATGTCCCATTGATGTCCCTCGGTTGTTTCCACCTTTCACTGGTGTGAATAACACTGATAGAAACAGGGGTGTGCAAGTATCTCTTTTAAGTGTTTTGGGAATAGAGCCAGAAGTGGAATTGCCAGATCGTGCAGTAGTTGGGTGTTCTATGTTTTGAAGAACCGCTATGCGTGTTTCCTCCGTGGCAGCACCATTTTACATTCCACGAGTTCCAATTGCTCCACATCCTCGCCAGCACCTGCTCTTTCTGGTTTGGGGCTAGTAGCCATCCCTAGCTTTGGTTTATCCTGACTGAGCCGGTCTCTGCTGCTAGTTGTCAGCCTCGCCTCTCACCTGTCAGCCCCACCCTCT